CTTGTGGTGTTTCCTTGAAGTGTGATGATGCAATGGGATTCAAGGAAGTAGAAAGTTCCTCTGTAGATTCGATCACCGTATGCTCGGCTCTCACAGCTGCGAAGAGTTATATCAATTATATTTAAATATTTAAAATCTTTGTTTTTACTATTTTTGTAAAAATTATTAATAAGCATTATAAAGAAGTATAATTATTGTTAAGTTAACAAGCCAAATGATTTCTTTAAAGGCAAAAAAAATAAAAATAGAAGTACCAATGAAGTAAAAACTTATATGGATTGTAGAACTAAAATTTCTTCAATTACTCAAATTAAAAATAACCAAAAATGGAAAGAAAGTCTAATGCAAAATCAGGAAGTGCAATAGTACTAGAAATAGTTGTAAACTATATTTTCGAAGCACTTTTAACTAATTGCAGTTCAGATAATTATTTGTTTAAACAAAAATTTTTTGTTGCACTGGATCTATTATTTGAAATTATTAATATAGATTCAGAAGAACAAAATAACAAAGAAATTACTCAACATTTAATTAATTGAATCTCAAAGGCAGATCATTTTTCTTGGATCTATTATAAGTATGAAATAACAAAAAGTTCAAATGCATTTGTTTATTATTGTAATAGTAGAGAATTTAATAAACAAAGATTTTAAGATAATAATATTTTAAAAAAACATAATACAGCAGCCAGAATTTATTATTATGATTGTAGTGATATAATTCAAATGAATGTTGATCAAAAAAATAACCTAATTACTGTTAATATTTATCATTACCTTCATTTGCCACCTGAAACAACAGAAACTATATTACAAATTTGAGATTACATTGCTAAAAACCATTTATTAACCATTCTACAACTTTATTAAAACATTAAGAAAGAAAAAATTACTAGATATTTACATCTTACTCAGCATCAGGTTTATTATTGAGCAAAAAAAATTGCTACAAAAGAATACAAATTGGCTGATAACCAATTGGAATTAGTACAATGATATTTAGAAAATAATTTAAAATTTCAAACTCTTTTTTAAGATGAATCTTCATTGGCATTTTTGACATCTTTAATATTTATATTACCAGATCATGTCATGAATACTATCATTGTAGATGCTACTTACAGCACAAAAAAATTAAAATTTGAATTATATGAAATTCTTGGAGTTATAAATAGAGCAGATTTTCCATTATTATATATTTTTTAGAACCAAAATGCCCTTAAGACAAAACACAAGCACTAATAAAATAGTTCTACTACTTAAAAAACAATGGTATTCAAAAAGTCAAAACTGTTTTAAGTTATAAAGACCATAGACAAATTACAGCTATTAATAAAGTTTGGACAGAAGCAAAAGTCCAATTATGCTATTGGCATGTTCTAAGAGCAGTTAAAAAAATACTCTCTACTACTGGAATTGTACATAACTATTACAATGCACATGAAGTATATTCTTTTTGTTTGATTATTAATCCAAATTGGCAACCTGTTTACCAAAACTCTATATTTGCTAATCTTAAAATACATAATAAAAATAAGGTTTTTTGTCAGAAAAATTTTTGTGAAAATATTCTTCAACTTATTTATATCTATTTTTCATGTAATTATGCAAGACAATTTTGGATTTTATGTGTTAAAGAATTATTTGAATTTTGCTATAAAAATAATCTTTGCCATGTATAATCATATATGTGGCTTGAATAGTATCAGCCTAAAATGTAAAAACTTTGGGCATATGCATCAAATAAACAAATTAATTTATTAAGAAGTACTATGGTTATTGAAAGTCACTGGTATGTATTAAAGCATAGCTTTTTTTCAAATTTTAATTATGCATGACTGGATTTAATTGTTTATACTATTGTATCTAAAGTTATTCCACAACAAGTTGATTAATTGCAATTGCTATATAATGAACATTGTATAACAAAATGGCATAAAGAGTTTTGAACTGAATGGAAAAAATTAATCAGTCAAACAATCAATAACAATAATAATTTCAATCATAGTTATGTTGCTAATTCTTTCTATTGGATTTGTTTATGCAAAAATTTTCCTTTAAACCAGTTCTATATTTGTAAACATTTAATGCAAATGTACAATCCAGTTGAACTTGGATTTTTTAAAAAAGTAGGACTTATTATTATTATTGTTGTTATTATCATTATACTTTAATTATAGTATATATTTATTTAATTATCAATTTAAGGTTATTCAACAAGAATCTTATCCTCTTTTGGTAGTTAAAGATGAAAACACTCTTTTCTACTTTACCAAAAAATAAATATACTGCAATTTAAAATCTCAACTTTGAATCTTGTAAATTAATTATTCATAATAGACAAATTAATTTTCAGAAATCTAATGCCAAGAATCTTTAATGAATCATGTTCAAGAATATAATATGATCAAATTTAATAAAGAAAATTCTGTTGAAATTGATACTAATACTAATAATCAAGACCTAATTTTGTTTAAAAAACATAAACATAAAATTTTTGAATTATTTGATTTAGCAAAAAAAATACTTAAAGAAAATGAAACAAACTCAAATAGAAATAAGTAGCTCAATAGTATTGATAAAAATTTTGAGCCAATGCATAAATTTGTTGAAAACAATAGTAGGTTTAAATGACAAAGGCAAATTCTAAAGACTTGAAAGAATCATAATTATATTACATTCTGGCTGCAATAATGGTTGTTAAAAAAAAAACTTCAAATATATTGCTTTAATAAAATAATAAAAATTGTAATATTTGTTTCAATTATTAACTTTTTTTATTCTCAAAATAAAAGAATTTGTATTTGATATATATATATTATACATATATAAAATAATGCTAATAAATAGTTAATATATCATTACAATTAGATTACATGCTCTGAAATTTTTTAGGTGGCAATTTAGACCCAATTAAGCATAACTATTCAAATTAGTTCTACAAAAATACAGTTTATACTCACATTACAGATCATCTTGTTAATATAAATCTAAGTCACAAAACAAATTTTTATAAATTTTTATAAATCAAAATTCTCTTATATACAGTATATCAACTTTAATTAGTTATTAATATCACTATAAACATCAATTCAAATAGGATGATATTAATGAGAATGACTTGTACATGAATTTTCAGATGAAGAGACCACTAATTTAAAACTGGTTAGGGATTATATTTATCATATAGTCAATGGAGTTGATTTCAATATAAATAATTCTATTTGAATTGATCACAATGTATTTGGAATCCATCTGTTAATTTTATTATAAAAATTTTTTTATGTTAAATTATATATTTTAAACTCTGTATATAACTGATTTGGGTAGTTATGCTTGGTTTGCCCTAGTTCATTGATAAAGGCCCTAATTTTCTTTCATAGTTCTGATTAGGCACTGAAATTTCATCTCTAATTGGATGAAATGCATTATGTTATATTACAAAAAAATTGCTAATATTTTTAATATTTAAAAAAAAATTTTAAAGAAAATGAAAACTTTAGGATTTAATCATTTTATTACTAACTGATACAAGTAATTTAAACTTAATGTTAATAAATATTTCAATTCAAAAAAATTTTAGAAAGATTTTTTTGGGTATTTTATTTTTAATTAAATGAAGCTTATTAAAAGTTTTTTAATAATTTATTATTAATTCATTATTAAACTTTGCACTCAGTAAAAATCTTGCATGTTTTTTTTTATTATGAATGGATAATTAATTTAATGAATAAAAATTATAGGTCAAAACTTTTTGCTTATGATTCAACAAATTAATTAACATAAATGCTTGAATTTCAAGTTGATATATATTGCAAATCCATAATGATAAATGCATACTACTTTAAATAATCTGCTAGGTTGCTAATTAATAAATATATATATATACAAAAAAATCTGTTAATACTTATTTTGTCTTCTTATTTTTGTATTTGGTGCTATTTGGTCTATTTGGCATATTCTTGACTCATCAGTATTTTGTGAAATAGATTCAATTCTTGCAATTCTTGTCTTTTTTGTTTGAGCAACTTGTTGAAGAGCAATCTGAAGGTTATAAATATCTTCTTTTTTTTTATTTTTCTATTCTGTGATAATTATAAAAAGTTCTTCTTGCAGTTTTGTAACTTGAACATTATTATTGTTATCTTGGTTTATATAATTATGAGAAACAGAAGAATCAGAAGAATCAAAAAAATCTGTTTTTACATATAGTTGATTATTTTTTTTAATTTCATCATGCACATTAATTTGTGTTAGTATAGCAAATACATGTTTGCATAATAATTGTTATGATTGAAAATCACAACAATTACAAATATAAAAGACAATATAAAGACATTTTTACTATTATTTTTCTTATGAACTGAGCATTTGATATCATCCTTTATTAGAGAATGAACTATCTAAATACTAGACTAAATGCCATAAATATTACTATTATTAATATTTGCAGTTCTTGCAATTTTACAAATTCATTGTTGTCTTTGTTGCAGGCTTATTTTACTGATTTTTAGTTCATTTAGAAATATTGAAAAATTTATATCTCAAAATACAACTTCTATAAGAATATGTACTTTTCTATCAAGTTGTTAACTTGTATAATGATGCAATAAATTAGAAAATAAATAAAGTAAAAAAAAATTAAATAAAAAAAATTTAAAATTAAATAAATAAATTAAAAAAAATAAACAAATAAAAATTAAAAATTAAATAAATAAAAATAATAAATTAAAAAATTAACTAGAAAAAGAAAATTTTTATTTGTACACTATGTGCATATATGTTGCATTTGAAGTAGTAATTTATTTAAAGTAGTGTTTGGCTAAAATTAAGTCTCTAAAATTAGATCTTTATGCATATATTAGATTTTAATTTTAATTAGAGTGTTACTTTAGATATTTAAATTACCTATTTTAAATAAATTGTTATGTACTTCAAATGTAATATATACACAGATATTGTTATCTTATTAATAAAACTACTTTTAGGATTTTAAGAATTCTTTAAAAAATTATATGCTACATAAATATGCAAATTATTAATAACTATATATATATAAACTAAAAAATTTTCTTTAGAAGATGGCGATCCTAGTGTAGTAGTTAGGTTGTCATCCTCCAAGTGGCAGGTTTAAGGTTCAAATCCCACCTACAATGAAATTTGAAAATTATATCTGCATTATGATAACTGTTTTCTGTTGATCGGTTGGCCTCATGTGGCAGTTACCCAGGTATACCAGACTGGGTCCCTCTGGCTTTGGGAGCTCAAGACATCTATGTGAAGTGTAACGTTACATGTACTTAGAGGAATGTTAATCAGTGTTGTATAAGACTTTGGTACAAACTCATGATAAGACCACCAGGTGTAAAAGACTAAAGAACTGAGGTAATGGAAACCCACTTGGAATTTCTCAAGTAAAAAGGTAGCATAAACTTTCGATGGTATCATTGGACTGGTTGAAGCCTATGAAACACCTTTATAGAAACTGAAGATTAAAACTGGATGACAAATATGTGTAGAGGAGCACATAACCAACCAGA